ACCACCAACCATTGTTCATTTTCTATTTTAGTGTCGACTGAATATGTTTTGAAATGTTATGCGTCGGAAGCATGGCGCCACTTCCACCAGTGCACGAGGTCGGTGACCCATGCACAGGGTATGCAGACAAGTGGTGTCGTGAGGGCCATCTCGACTTCAATCGCGCTTGCGTGGGGGTAGGCATCGTTGTTGAGTGCCTTCCAGTCTTCGAACGACGCGTTGTAGCGCGGTACAAAGTCCATCGCAAAGTATGTCCCGAGGAGCTCGTTCTTGAAGTAGATGGGGAGACACGCGTAGAACCTGATCGGCCGTCGGAACGGACTTGACGTCGCGCCTTGAACCCACGGGTGGTCGCGAAACCGAGGGTCCAATGTTGTGTCGTTGACCCAGACGGCAACCTTGGTGCGGACAACGTGCGCGTCCAGGGCGTCTCTTCGGTGCACGCGAACGCGCTTCCCGTGGACAATAAAGCGCTGGCAGTCCTCGTCAATCAAGCTTGCCGAGCAAATGGGCGCGTCAAACGCGATGGGGCCACGAGGCTTCAAGTCAATGCGCTGAAAGTCGCGCCGCCGTACGTATCGTAGCCGGCTCGATGCGCACCAGTTAATTGAGTCGGACGGGTCCGTTGGTGGCCCGACTGACCTCGCGGCCGCAAACCCGTCTTTTGTTGGAAAGTAAAACGCGTTCTGATGCAGCTTTTTGCGCCCGCCACACGGCTCAGTGACGACGAGGCGACCAGCGGCGGCGGCGAGCGCAATGAGGCGCTCTGTGGACAGTGCCTTCGAGTGTGCCTTCGTGTCGAGGACGATGACCGTGCCGAGTACGACCGACGTGCCAGGTAAGAGAATGGGCGCGCTTGCAAAGAAGCGCACGCGTGGCGTGGCAACAACGAGTGGGTGGGCTCGAAAACGAGGATCCTTGGTCGCGTTCAAGACGGTCAGTGGTGTGGCCGACACCACGACCGTGCTGCAGAGACTCTCAGAGCTCAAAAAGTACTCACGCGAGAGTCCTCTCGCCGCTTTGAACCACTGCCTCGTGTTGTCGATGAATGTGACAGCGGCCATCGGGCAGTGATACGCACGGGCGGCGGCTTCGCAAATAGCATCAAAGGTTGGCTCGGGCACGGTGTCGAGGATGCCTGTCGAGACGAGCGCGCTGATACGGGCGCTTTCGGCCGACATATCCATGGGCGACGGCAGCGTCGTCGCGCTGCTTGATGCGCGAGGCATATCGCGATTCGCAGACTGTGACACCTGCGCGGTCGCGTTACTTGGCCACGCATCTTCCGGATACATGGAACCGGATCGGCAAGATCGCCAGGTGATTTTTCACGTGCGGTCGACAGCGCCCGAGTTTTTCACACACCTTAGAGCCACATCCGCGGCCAGGTCGTGCGATTGACGTCACAAATCCAAGCCACAACCCTCCTAAACGATGCAAAGGTTACGTATTGCCGAGGTGCTTTATTGAACGACCAGCATACGTCAAGTGGAAAACCCAACCCGCGTCAGTTGGGTGTGTTTATCCATGAAATTGCTCTTGGCTTCCCCGTGGACACATGCGACGGCGAAAAGCGATAGCGCAGCTAGAAGTGCCGCTGAGATTGGTTGAGCAGCATGGAGCGTACAACCGTTAATATCGAAGCCAAAGCGACTCGCTGAGACTGTTTGCGTTTGCCGCGACGATGCCTTGTCACTTGACATGTGTGCCAACGCGCGATCGGTGCGACAAAGATTCGCACCAACAACGTTGCCAGTGCCTTTACAAGATACTACAACTCTTTGGTTTCCATCGTGCGTCGTTGTCGGTTGTGTATTGACCCAAACTTGATAGCTTGCGCGTTTCCAAACGAGCAGGCGGTCGACAGCGTTCGATCTCCCTTCTTCCAATCCAACTGCGCCCCGCGCCGATATGCAAAGATGGTGCGAGTACATCGCTTTCGTTGCCAGAGTATGGTTTGGACTCTATGGATTTGAGGGCGGGTTTACTCGCGACCAGTGCCATATAATAGCTGCTATTGGTGCTGAAGTGTCTCGGAGCAGTCGCTGCAGCATTTTACATACGGCATTCCTGCAAAAGATGCTGGACAATGCAATGGGATCTACACCATTCGGTTGATGGCGCTGCGTAAAGTCAGCTGTAAAGTCACGCAAGGTTGTGCGAAAATACGGTTGCAGTATAGAAGGGTTGCTTGACACGAGGCACGGGTGAATGATTGACATGTCCATTTGCGAAAAATGTCTGGCGACTACCAGTACAACTACCGTACATAGTTGTACGTACTATACGCCAGTACACGCAATTGCCCCACGTATTTTTTGCGCTGTTTAGATCTAGTGGCTTCGCCTACCCCTCGCGTGTCCAGTCACTCGACGAAATTTGACACCACCCCTTGACCAGCCTCACAATTGCTGGGAAGTGAATTCATCACTTTGTGATGGTGTACTTATGCCCATGCCGTAGGATACTTCGAGGTTGGAAAAACTGGACTAAACCGACGCCCAAGCGGGTGCCCCGTTGGTTGAGAGCGTAAGAGCACATTTGCCTCCATCATTGACGGCAAACTCAACAACAACCGTAAGTCTGAGAAGCTGCAGGCCATCGGAGTTTGTTCCATGATAATTATCGTGATATTTGAGCACCGGAACGATAACGATTATTTGGTAGGTGCCGTCCACTTGTTCTTGGTGCCACCCCAGCGCGCATGCAAGCCACCCTCCTACGTCAATCAGTCGTTGTTGAGAGAACACGTCCCGTCAGAGTCATACCTGCGCCTCGCTTCGCAGCAGCTCCTTCTGCTCACGCAAACGCTCCTTTCGGCGACGACTCTCGCGCTGCTTTTTAGTCATGCCCGTGGCAGCTTCTTCAGCTGAAGTGGGTGGTGGCAGGCGTTGGCCCTTGACCTTCGCTGGTGCTTTCACAACTTCCCACTCGTCTTCGCCCTTTGCGTCACCCGACTCGGACGAAGAGACTCCATCGTTTTCGCTCCATGGCGATTCACCATTTGTGAGGCGGATTCGCTCCAGCGGCACCTTGGTCTCAATCTCACCGTCGTCGTACTGCACCGTGTACAGGTTGCCGCGTTGCACCTAGCTTTAGATTAGATGGTCTCGTCAAGAATTAGCATGTCACCTTGGTAATTGTACCGTTGAACCACTCGCGTTGGTTCTGGAACTGGGCTAGGACACGTTGACCTTCTTCAAACTGGAACGTTGGCTTGGGCGCAGGCGCCATGCGCTGCGCGCCGCACATCGCGGCCGCGCCAAAGTGCTTCTGGGCCAGAATCTGCGCTGCCGAGAGACCGTCTTCGTCGTCGGATGACGAATCCAAGATTTCCTCGTCGTCGCTGGGCTGTGTGGTGGCTGGTGGTGCAGCAGACGGCGCTTCGGGTGTCGAATCCTCCTTCTCTGAGGGAGTCGCCGCAGGGCCGCTACAATACGACGCTCAGCTGTCGTCTAGAATATGCCGCAGATAGCACCTGTCGCTTGTTGTCGTCTTTTTCTTCTTGCCACTAGTAGGAAAACGTGAGCGCCTACTCGGCGTGGAGTGGCAAACCTCTTCTTCTTGACCTTCTTCTTCGCCGCTGGAACCGCCGTTATCGATGGCGCCTTGAGGACGTACTTGTACACAAGGTAGCCCAGGATCACGAGCACCAAAGTCGCGACCCACTTCGTCCCTTGCGCTGCCATGGCTGCCAGACCTCGGCGTCTTCAGGTTCGTTCCTTCTCAAGAGTAGTATTATTTTGGAAACCTTCGAAAACGCTTGCCGACCTCTCTTTTTTAGAAATGCTTATCCTGCGATCTAACAATATGTATATACAGTCATATAATAAAGTTCTGCGTAATAAATTCCAAACGATCAAATCTGCGATTGGCTGGATTATTTTCCCTAACCGGACATCTGGCTATTGTCCGGTTGATTCCGGAAGTGTCGTATCCGGCGCACTGTTGCACTCAGCGATCATCGGCGCTGGATCTTTTGGACTTCAACGCTGCGCAGAACGTAGGCGACTGTGACGACCGCTCGCAAGTGCTGCACCAGTCGCTTCAACGCGATAGCTTTTAACAAGGGTATATCTTATATACCCTTGCTTTTAGTCGCGCGCGAATTCTTCGGGGTGCTCACCTTCGGTGGGTTCGATGCCATGCTACAGCAGACAAGCCTCAAGACTTATGTCCAGGCAGCAAACAACGACCTCACACGATGTCGCTACACATGGAAGGCGTGAAGACCGTCGATCACCCCTCTTATGACACGTGCTGCTCAAGAGACGGTGTTGGAAATGCAACTTTCTCGTGGTTCGTTGCAAAATTTTAGGCTCGCCTGGTCGGCGTGGGTTGCCAAACGACGCACAAAATGCGTGTCATGCATGCAAGATGTGCCAGAATCAGGCAGTGAGCCCGGCTTCACATTGGGCCGCATAAGACACTGCTCATAGAAACTTGACCTACAGAGCCTCCCACTTTTGGGCGTATTGAATTCCCACGTATTTCTCTTCTTAAACTCACGTATCAGCTTCTTGGGACTCTTTATGTTGATGAGCGAACAGCAGAGCGATTGGTGAGTAGACGACAAGTTGTCCCGCCCGCTTTCCAAATTTTCAAGTGGAATGGTTATCGTGGACCTAAAAGTATCTTTGGCTGGCTCTTTAGAGTCGTCGTTCAACGATTGCACTGTCGTGTGCATTTTGCTTCTGTAGCTTCCGGTTGTGTCTCTAGGACACATGTACGATGGGTTAATTGGTCGTCTTCCGAGCGCCCGTGTCATCAATCGATATGTAGCTCGTCAAGGATGTTTTCGTGACGTGTCCGCCGGATTCGGTGTGTCTGCGCGTGGACATGGCGGCCCATCTCAGCTCGGAATCCCACATGCCACACTTGCGCTAACACCACCCTATGTGCATGCTACGGTCCAAAAAACTTGGATCGATTAGCAACCTTGAAATTTCTAAAACGATCCAACGAGGTTTCGACCTCTCAGTGCCTCACTCTTGCTTTTTCTTCGCTTTGCCATCATCATGTCCAAGCCTTCTCACTTTGTGCAGCGACTGTACCATGCTCTCGAAAAAGCGCCCGTGAGCATCTTCCATTGGACGGATGACGGCATGGCCTTCGTGATCCTTGACCGCGATCTCTTTACGACTCAAATTCTGCACGCATACTTCAAGTACACCAAGTTTACGAGCTTCGAGCGGCGCCTGCGGCTCCACGGCTTTCGCCGGCGTAGCTTTGCGAGTCAGAGTCCATCGCAGCGCGTGCTCTTGACGTTCCAGCACTCGCACTTTCAGCGTGACAACCGAAGTCTTTTGCGACTCATTACTGTGCCGACCCAAGGCGAGACACCTGCAGTACCTATCGCCAACGACACCAGCGACCTCTCGCAAATCTACAGCTCGATTGACGAACTCCAACAACAAATCACGTCTGCGACTTCCAAGCTCAACCTCCTCGTACAATACGTTATGGCATCACCGCCCGACAATGACAACGACGATGCGTACTTCAATGACACGGAAGATGACGCGGACAGCGATATTTTGGCTGATGATGAGTTTGCCATTTCATGCTTTGCGCCGCTCCCAGTGTGCCCCACGGACTTCTCGGTGGCTGAAGTTGAGCGCGCTTTGGTCGATTTCGACGTGCCCGGCTTGACGCTCTAGTGTCACTCACTATTGTGTAACCACTTATTTTATTCTTTGTGTTTGATAATTGTTCTGGGTTTTCAACCCTTCTGTTGGAGTATGTGATCTCCCGATCTGTGCTCCACGCTCGCAGATAGCGCAACACCCGGTCTTGGTGTGTTGTCGCTCCGAGGTTTTTCATCTCCACAGTCTGCTGAAGGTTTTTCCCTCAGTTTAGTCGTTTAGTAGTCTAGTCAGTCTACTAGTCGTTTAGTCGACTCCGTAGAGAGGCACGGCAGTGTCTCCCGACTAATACGACCAACTTCTGGATTGACTGAATTGTGTGAACTTGATGTCCGGAACGGTCCATTTCGTTCTCCACCGTTTGGTCTCCGTGGACCTCCGAGGCGGCAGCCTCGTGCCTCGCCGCCTCCTCCTCAAGAGAGCACCATAGGTGCACTCATCCTCATTCTCACTCCAACACCTTCGACCTGCATTGGGGAACCCACGACCCTTCGACGCACCACTTCGCGCGATTCTTCTAAGTGTTCTATCGATGTTTAAGGTGCATTCTACGCCACCAATCGCCACTCTTGACTTCGCCAAGCTTGAGTCACCACGCCAATCCCAAAGCAAGAACAAATTTCCTTGCCGAAACCTGGCCACCGATCGGTTTCGTCCATTGAAACTGATTGGTGTTTTCATGTTATGAGTCTTTTATTATTATAAATCAATAGACTATCATGAGCATAGACCTTCTCCTTCTCCTTCGCCCGTGACTGCTAATGAACCGTACAAGTTATGAAGCTGCTGGAGATGGCGTGGCAATCGTGTGGGCGGTACAACGTATAATGTACTACTAGTAGGGCACACACAACGGTTCCTGAAGCAGTTCGTCCCTTGAAACTGTCCTGTTGTCACCCACCGTGCCACCAGCGTAGGGCACTGGCGTCACGCGTGTTGGACTTGCGTATTGGAAGTGTCGCGATTGACGCAACAACTTGGTCGAATGCGCCGCCGTAGGACACTAGTTTTACTCGCGTTGGACATGGATTTTGCTCCGCAACTTGGGGAGCAAATTCCGTGCAACCGACGACCTGCGTTTCTATCCGGATGCGGACGAAGTAATGATGTCGTATCCGGACCCTGAAAACGACAATTTTGCTCTTGGCAACGATGGAGGAGGCGTCGAAGCATGTCGTTGTCCTCGTCCTCGGGGATATTGGCCGCAGCCCACGCATGCAGTACCACGCTATCTCGCTCGCCGAGATGCCAGACACGCGTGTCACCGTTGTGGGCTACGAGGGCGAGCGCTGTGTTCCGCAGCTGCTGGCCAAGCCCAACATTGCGTTGCGAACCTTTGCGCCCATCGCCGTATCGCGAAAGCTCTTCGTGCTCTCGGGACCACTCAAGGTGCTTCTCCAGGTGCGATATAGATCCCTATGCACTGTCAGTTTCGCCTCTGATATTGTGTCATCTAGCTGTTTCAACTGTTTTGGCTTTTGCTGTTTTGCGTCGGGTCGTTTGACGTGCTTCTTGTACAAAATCCGCCCACGTAGAGACTCCAACCTTCGAACTTGGACAATGATTTGTGCGTAGCATCCCAACGCTGTACATCGGCTGGCTTTCGTGCAAGCTCAAGCGCGCCAAACTTGTCATCGATTGGCACAACATGGGCTACACGGTGCTCGCGCTCTCGATTGGTCAAGGACACGTGTTTGTCAAGGTATATACGACGTGGTACTTGCGCGAAGCTAGACAGTATGACCGTAGATCGCCCGGTGGTTTGAGCGGTTCTTCGGTCGCCGCGCCGATGGCCACTTTTGTGTGACTGAAGCGATGCAATTGTGGCTGCAAGACAACTGGGACATTTCCCCTGTTGTTTTATACGACAAGCCGCCTGCATTCTTTCAGCCGACGCCACTAGACGTCCAACACGACCTCTTGGTGCGCCTTGACGACGCCTTTGCTGCCGTGGCCGATTTGGTGCCAGCCAAACCCAACGCCACGTGGCGCACCGAGCTTCTAGGGTGTGCACTTGATTGTTCAAATTCCTCTTCTCATTGCGCATTAGATCTTCGTCGTTCAAACTTCGCAACGACCGTCCGGCACTCGTTATTAGGTATGCTCGCGACGCTGCCATCATGCGTGACTCATGCGATAATTTAGCTCGACAAGCTGGACTGAAGACGAAGACTTTGGTCTGCTCTTTGACGCTCTCGTGCTGTTCGAAGAAGTGGCCAAGGACCGCTGTGACATTCCTAGTCTCGTTGTCGCTGTCACAGGCAAAGGGCCGCAGAAGGCGATGTACTTGGAGCGAATTGCGGCACTCAAGTTTCAGCGGGTCCGCATTGTGACGCTGTACGACTGTGTGTGCGACTTTAGCGGCGCTAAACGACGGTGCATAGATGGCTCGAAGCCAGTGACTACCCACTGCTCTTGGGCGCCGCCGACCTCGGCATCTGCCTCCACACGTCAACGTCGGGCTTGGACCTGCCGATGAAGGTTCTCGACATGTTTGGTTGCCGCGTGCCTGTCTGCGCTGTGGGCTTCAATTGCTTGAACGAGCTCATCAAGCACGACAAGTATGCCACTATATCATCGATGTGTCAACGATTTCATGCCGCGCTAGAAATGGTCTCGTCTTCCAGAGAAGCGAAGAGTTGTGTGACCAACTGATTGAGCTTCTGACCGCGTACCCCAAGGTACACACTTCTTCATCGTATCTGCCCATATAGAAGTCCATTAGAACGAGACCCTGACGCGATACCGTGCCAACTTGTCGGACTTCGAGGTACGGACTTTACTACCATCAATCGATAGCAACGGGGATGTTTAGCACTGGCCGGAGAACTGGTCCAAGCACGCTGCACCAGTGTTTGATGCTCTTATGGCCCAACACTATGACGAGACGGAATAGTTCAATTGTGTACTTTGCAAGGCAGTAAACTGTGCAGCATTACTATATTCTTTGTTTTATCGTTCCCCAGGCAACACGGCAAAATCGACTACACGAATCTGGACCTGCCCATCGCAGGCTTATTGCAGACACGCGCGCATAAACTGATTGTAGTTGACGTGACCATCCTGAACCGAGTCGAATCGCTTGAGCAACTAGAGTGGACATGGTAAGTCCATCACAAATGATGCAGTGTGCACCGTGTAGTAGATGTCATCGGAGACAGCAATGCCAAACCATTCGAGCAAGTGACGAAAGTGCTGTGGTGAAATGTGACCCGAGCCTTCCGTGTCAAGCTTGCGGAGCGACGCGTACACGCTCTTCCACTTGAGTTTGAGCACGCTCCGGATATCTTCTGGCACCTACACATGCGATGCTAATGAGATGCAACAACTTGCTTCCTATCGCACCGGCGACTTGGATGGCGACAGCGCGGGGAGGTTGGCATAGTCGGAGGAATAGGGCTTGAGTGGCGTGTACTCGGAGAAAGGGTTCTTGCCGTGGACGTGTTGTTTTAAAAACACATTGTAGTTGAGTCGGCCCGAGTTGTCTGTGTCGTACTTCTTGCAAATCCGAAGGCTCTCTTCAAACGTGAGCGCGACACCGATGTTCTCCATGACTAGAATGCACCAGTTCACAAATATGGCACATGTCATATCTGGCTTGCACCTTTGCGGAACGCGGCTTGTGACACAAGCCCCGACTTTTCAGAGTCTATCGACTGAAATGCCTTGTGCAGCGTCTTCCAGCGCTTTGTGAGCAGCGCCTTGATTTTTTCCTCGACAGCGACGGCGCCGCCGACGGCCAACTGACCCTCTTCGACGTGCCGGTTCACGACCGCGTGCGCTGCGGCGTCCACCGACACCGACTTGTGCTGGCTTGACCGCTTCGCCACCGCCCGTGGTGCGTTCGAGATCGCGCTGTAGTAGGAACAGTTGCTTGCAAGGTCGCTCATGCCTGACATCTTGTCTGGATCCTTGCCGCCGCACGCGTGGAGCATCTGGAGGTATGGAACAAAACCAGAGCCATCGACGTCAAAGTACTTTGCGAACGCGCCAAAGAGCTCGGCGTCCGCAAACGGAATGCCAATCTTCTCCAGAACGCGCCGGACGTCAACATACGGAAGCAAGCCAGAGCGTGCCGTGTCCACTTGAGTAAAGAGCTTGTAGACGCGCCGCTGGAGCGCCGGCGACGATGTCAAGTGGTGACGCAACACGACACGCGCGTCGTCGATTGACCGGATCTCGCTCGAGTGGCTCTTTTCATCGCCGAGGAGGGTCATTGTGGACGTGTCCACCAGTTGCTTGGCCTGTACACCCGCGTCCAAGTCGAGGAGCAGCTCCCGATACTTTAGAACGCCAAGGGTTGGGTTGATGAAACGACCAAAAAGCGAGTCAAAGATGGGCGTCTTGCGCTCGACCTTGACGCCGTGGTCCTTGAGAAGGGAGAGCCACGTCTCGAGGCTCACAATGCCCTTGAGGTCAGCGTCAGCGAGCAAAAGCGCAGCTTCAAGCGCGTGCAAGTTTTGCTTGAGGACGTTTCGAGTCGCGTCCAAAGGTGACGGCGCCGGCTGACGCCGCCGGCCTGTGGGTTCGTGCATCTCCCACTCGTCCATCTCGTCGATCGGATCAATAACTTCGCGTGACGGTGGTGTCACCTCGTGGTCGTAGTCGGTCAAGAACGACGAGTACCGGATGGAGCACGTGTGGTGCGTATTGGCCTTGTCTTCGTAAAAGAGGACGAGGAAGGCCATTTGGTCATCACGGAGGTGCGGAATGTGCGTCTTTGTGATGCTGCTAAACGTATCAGCCGAAATGCGCCCGATGCGTCGAACGTCGGCAGCAATAAGTTCGCTCTTGAGAGACTGCCACGTGTCCGGCGACAGAGCGGCGCACACATTGTGGATGCTGCTCTCCATGTTGTAGTACTCGGTCGGATTCTGCTTGGGGGCGTTCATCGTGTTCTTGTTCGGGTGCGGTGCATAGATGCCCATGACTTGGGGGCGGTAAGCTTTCACGAGGTCGCGGTAGTTCATGAGGTCGTTGACGTACGAGCCGCACGCGCGAAAAATGGCGTTCACGTTGTCGTGGGGCAAGTCATGCCCAAGATAGTCGCAAAGGATCGAGAGGAATTGCGCGCGGGGAATCCAGCCCGTCTTGTGCGTGTCAGCAGCCACAAAATCCAGGTACAAGGCGTGCCACTGAGCGTCCGAGAGCTTGGAAAAGTGGTCCTTGATGTTGGGTCGGTCGCTGTGACTCGACTTGTCACACATGAGGAGCGACGTGCGCTCCGTGAGCACAAACTTTTTAGGTTTTGACTCTGCGTCGCTCATCGGAAGTGTCAAATGGGGGTACGCGCGGAGGTCTTCGCCAAAGTGCCGAAAGAACTCGGCCGTGTTGACGCTGCCGTCACGCGAAGTGTCGTAGCAGAGCACGAGTTGCTGGAATTGGGCCTCGTGCAGCTCGATGTGGAAGCGCGCGAGCAGCCGCTGTAGGTCGTCACGCGACACGAAGCCGCCTTTGCTGTGATCGTGCTGCACGAGCGCTTCGCGTAGTTTCCTACAATCCCAATATCAAAGTCGAGTGATTGGTGATCGTTTTGTAGGGCGTACGACCAAGACGGTCCAATTTTATCGTCGACGAGCTTTCGGACTTGACCTTGAAGAAACGCTCGCTGAACTTTCTCTTCGACGGCGGCAACCGAAAAGTCGTGAGCCGTGTGCTGTAGAATCGAGCTCCCAACGCCGTGCGGGTTGGCGTTCGAAAACTTGGCGCCAAACTGGCTCAGAAACTCGGTGTAATTCACAAAGCCGTCGCCGTTCGTGTCGAAGCGTAGCATGAGGTTCACCAGGATATCGTGCGACACGGGCAGATCGTACTGCTTGAGGACCTTAAGAAAGTCCGTTGCTGCCAAAAGACCACTCTACATGTATCCACAAAAGTAGGAAACCGATTCATACTAGTGTAGCATACCTTGTCGTGGTCCAAGGCCTTGAACGAATCCTTGAGACTAATCCAAGACGACTGCAGCCGCTCCTTGAGTAGTTCGTGCAAGTCATCGACAACAGCGCTCTGGAACGTGTGAATGCGCTTCATGTGCTCTTGGAGGCGCTGCTTCTTGATATCAATGCGCTTGCCTGCCTCCTTGCTGCGAAGCATGGTCGCAAAAGACTCGACAAAATTTCGGTAGTCGAGGTGCTCGTCGTTGTTCTCCTCGTACTCGCATAGTAGTGTCTTGGCTTCATCTGTCGTGAGGTGGATGCCATGGCTCTCAAACACTTTGACGATCTCGCCAACGCCGGACCGCGCCGTGTTACCAAAATGGATGTGGCTCGCGAGGTTGCGCACCGCGTGCATCTCCCCCGCCATCTTGAGCTTGCTCACGCGCGGTGGAGGCTCTTCCGGGTATGGGTCTCCGTTGTTGAGGGAGAGCGACGCCGAGACCTTGATCGGCGATACGATCGGGGCCTTCGTGGCCAGCATCCGCGCCTTCCGAGGCGATGGAGCCTGCGATGGCTTGATAGGACGCGGCGTCACGGACGGCGTGAACGGCGCGTGCTGGTCCCCCATGTTTGGTGAGGCAGATATAAGCACTGACAACGCCTTTCCGAACGCTTCAAAACGGACGCCCTAAAATAGGTTTCGTAACACTAAACTGCAGCAACGCGCGGCAAAACAACCAATTCGTGTTAGGCCCCGGAGCCGTGATTATGATGATGAACAGCTCCCATGAATTCACTTGTATCTACTGCAGAAAACGCGGCAAATCGAACCCAGCTCTTCCTGGTCGCAAACTACGAAGCTATCGAAATTCCACTGCTTCACCTGGGGTATTAATCCCAGGTTTGACTCGCATGATGCCGACGAAATGATGAGCGACGAAGAAAGTGGTGACGGCACAACAGTGGTACATCGGAGTACATGGATATACATTTCATGGATATATATGTTCAGAGTCCTTTGAATGATGCCGGTGCAAAAGGAAGTCGCCGCCAATTATCGCCTTTCATTCCAATCTGATCATCGCCATGGAAAAGTAGGAAAAAAT